CCATTGAAACTACAGTTGGAACTGTAAACACAAAATGTCCCCAGAATCTCAAACCAACACCCCAAACATGGTGGCACTCAAGCATCTTCTCTGGTATTGCCAATCAAAGCAAAAATAACACTTTTCCTATTCTGTATATGGTCACTGATTGCCTGAATCCCCTTCACACTTTCATTCAGTGTGAGATGCTACTTGCTCTCCTAAACAGAAATACCTGATTAGCTTTCCACTTCTAAAGGTTACTCTGTTTCATCCCACAAGGACTGTACTGCCACAGTGTGTAAAGTGATGCCAATACAGTGTTTGTTTATCAGCTTTAAAATATTTAAGATAATTTCAGGATAAATGGTGGTGTTAAAAAACCTGAGATACAGCACAGCAAAGAAGCAGGGCGGGGGCTACAGAGTACCCTCTCCTGAGAGCGCTGTAATCAGCAGCAAATGCATCAACACTGAATTGGTCTATCTGGGGGAAAAAAAGCAATTTACCTTGTTTACAGAAACAACTTTCAGGATTCTTTTTGGTCATAAAAAGCGACCTTGTGACTTCTCTCTGTACCCTACCCCCCATGCTGGCCAGCATAAGGGATTACTTGCTTTTAACTCAGGGTAGCACAAATGGGAAGCTGCAGTACCAGTAAGGTTGTCCCAACATCATGGCACGAGACGGGGAAGCACACATTGCAGCCAGGAGACCCATCTCTGCCACCACAGCAAATGCCAAACCCATCAGCTCAGGGCATTAAGAAATTCCTACTGCTGGCCCTGAAAGGTTAACAGAAGCCTAAAAGCCTGCCCTCCTCCCCCTGCCTTGGGGGCTGCCCTCACTGAAGTTCTTCCCAATACCATTTGCAATGATCTTGCTTGCATGTTTTTTGGAATACTGTGCACTCATATGAACACTCATTGTTTCAAACGCGAGATGACTCAGCTGCGCTCCAGCAGCAAAGAGACAGGAAAACTTGTTTACCCCACCGAGGCAGAGATCAAATATTAGGCCAAAGTTTGAAGATGGAGAGTAAAGAGCTATTTTCTAAAATACAATTCTCTGGGGAAAAAAAGCTCAAACAACAACAACAAAACAGTCCTATTGTCTCAAATTGGTTTTTGCTCCTTAAAAATAACCCCTAAAAAGTTACAGATCCGCTGCTTCAAAACATGTCCAAATTTTTGCTTTGCCCTTTTCAGGTAACTCTAGATTCCCTCTTTGCCAGCTCCTCAGACTCCAACATTTAAGACTTAAAAGGAAGGACCCTGCCTTTCCCCTGCTTCTCCCCACACATGGGATATTCTCGTGTGGAGGTGGTGAAGGTGGGTTGCTGTAATTAAATTACCTCTCAGCAGTGCAAGTGCATTGCTTGCACACCATCCTCTAGCTGGGTGATGCTCTCCTGGTAACAGCACAGGCAACGGATGTTTATTTCCTTTTCCTTAAGCATGGTGTCCATTCTGATACAGCTATAATGATGCAGATAGCTCTCATACCAGCTTACTGCCTCTCCAGAAGGTCTTTAATGGTAACATCTCTTCTACTGATGTGGCTGTGCTTTTTGAGGCCTCTCCTGCTCCAAAAGCAATGCCAGCAATGCTGAAATACAGACTGATTTGTAGAGCTGAGACTACAGAGATAACCCCCTGCACTGGAGATTCAGCTATGGCTGTAGCAAAGCATGGTGCAACCTCCTTGCCATCCCTTCTCTGGTTCCTCAAATGGGAAAAATTCAGTTACCCTAAGTCAGCGGATTTATGTTACCCATTCATTTGCTTTACTAAAATATTATGATTGCTTAATACATAATTATATCCTGTCAGTATTCATTTTCTATTAAGACCTCAGTTATAAATCCATCAGACAGAGGCTGTTTCGGCTGGTGGCCTGGCAGAGCAGCTGCTGCACCTTGGCCCTGTGGTGTCTCGGGCAGCTCAGGGCAGGAGCCACCCCTCAAAGTGTGGAAAATGGCTCTGAACCGCACTTCTTCCCTGAAAGAACCTGTGATTGCACGTGGGACACCAGAACCTGACATTGCAGGTGGGATGCTGCCGCAGAGAGAGGGTTTGCATTTGGGCAGCTGTAATCATCAGGTGTTTCCCCAGCTCTGTCCCCAACACTACATGCACAGGATGAAGACCCCAGCGAACTACATTTGCCCTTTTGAAAGGCAGCATTGCTCACACTTCAGCTAAGGAGTGCTTTTTTTTATTTTAATTTTAAAGTTCTTTTTTTTATCATGTCAAAGGCACAAAGGACTTTTTCTTCTTTTCCCTAAAATCCAACCAAATTTAGAGGAGTCCTTCATTACAATGGACCAGCAAGGGAAGTATGCGAAGAATTTTTACTGATTGACTTAAGGTCACTAGCCAAGAAAGGGTGTCTCCAGCTTCGATTTAAGTTACTGTTTTGATCCACTAGGCCTGGAAGGGAAGGTCAAGCTATAACTTATAGATAACCTTAATCTCATAAAGGATCCCTTTCTTACAGTCGTCAAGTCTCCTTATTACAAATATAACTATTACTTAGTAAAAAAATACCATTATTTATGCATATACAACCAACTAACAATGAATATCAAACTCCTGTGGGGAAGTAGTTGTGAGTTTTTATCCATACTTGGGAAGCCACACCACCCCTCCGACCGCTACATGTAACAGCACAATAACATTTCCTCTTGTCAGGAAGCAAGCAGCTACTGCCTAATCAAAGTTACAATGAAATCTCTTCTTAAAGCAGGACTGACATATCTAAACAACTGTGCCCAATGAGTTTGTCATATAAAGTCACAGGTATTTTACTATTATTTTTGGACAAAGTATTTGTGCATCTCAGTCCTTTAAAGAATGAACTTCCTTGCAACTGAAAACGAGAAGCTTGTCACAATATTTTTTTAAGTGCCACATCCCTGTATGGCAACACAAGACACGCTGTCTCCCAGTCCCAAAGGGCAGCTCACTTGTCACATTTTACCCTCTCCTCTGCTCTCCGCTGCTCACTGGTGTGACTCATCGACCTGCTATTCCTTCCCTGACACTCCCAGGCTAAACCAGCCCAGAATATTTCTCACTGACAACAGCGATACTATTGCACAAAAGGCTTAGCAAAGGAGCAGCAGCAGCGTCAGTTGCCCAAGTGCGTTCCTCGGAATTAAAATTTCAAAACAGAGAACTACAATTCAGATGCCCCACCAGGGTCCTCAACACACATGCACTGCTGCTTCCCTAATGGTGTAAATAATTCCCCTGCAGACTCAAATAGCAACAGCCTGAGGGTTTTCCCCCAGCTGCCTTTGAACCTACAGTCTGAAAACTCCTGTGTTCCTGTAGTGGCACAGCCAAGGCAGGATGTACATCGCTTGAAGAGTGGGAGACGGGGATCGCTGTAGGTAAACAGCTGGAGGCACGACCGGCACGGGGCGGCGCAGGGCATCCTTACCAGGACTGTGTGCATCCCTGTGTAGAGCCTGCTGAGACACACCAGCGTTGAAAATACAAACGCTGCTACCAGGCCTAGTTCAAAGGGATACTGTGAAGAGGGAAAAAAAAAAAAAAAAAAATACACTCATTACACCATTATCCACTTTAACATCAGTATATATCTGAAATAAAGCATCCAAACAGCCAGGCTAACATTAAGTATCTCACATTGGGAAGTGGCTCCTGAGCTGTACTTTCCCAAAAAGATTAACATGACCCAAGATGAGACCTCACACCAGCCAACATGCAGTCCTGCCAGAAAGTCTTTTCGTTACCTCTGGTGCCCACTTTCGCAAAGGTCCAGTCTTAGCATGGGTAAGCCTGGGAAATAGATCATATTTGCAGAGTTCTTTCCCACAATATCTACCTGCAAAATCCCTGCTAGTGCTAAAGACCTTAAGGAAAAAGGGCACAGCACATTGTACAAGTAATGCCAGAGGCTGAACTGCAGCCTCAGACCACCCGAGGGGAAGGCGACAGCCGAAGAGCCTGACCAGAAGCGTGATCAATAGTCCTCAAGCAGCAGGCTGGGAGGGCAAAATCAATGTCTGGACCAAAACCACAATCCAGCTACTAGAGCAGTCAAGACTCTCTTCCCTGTGACACTTAAGGTTTAATCAGCTTCTTATGAAGCTGGTTTTGCTTAATTCCCTCTCTGAGTTCCCTACGAACATGGAAAGAAGTGTGGAAATAAATCAACATTCAAAAAGGAAAAAAACTGCCCACATTTGGTAAAGAATAAGCTTAACATATTAGCCCTTAATCCACTCATTCAGTTCCTGAAACCGACTGAGCTGGTGAGCTCCTTTCAGTCTGTAAAGGAGATTTTTCAGAAAGAAATAAACCAACCCAAAATATAGATAAATGAAATTAATTCACCCGATTTGACACAAAGTCTCCATCCACTGCAGAGAGGCTGAGGACTGACTAGGGTGGCCACAGGTCAGCGCAAAAATGCTTCTGTGGAAATTTCAAGCATAACAACTCACTTCTGACCCTTTCCCTCTGGCGTACTCTAGGTCCTAGAGCAGAGAGCTCAGACCCGGCTGCAGATGTCACTCCCAGTTCATGAAACGCTATTTTTTGCTCACTTTTCTAAGTCTTCAGAGGATTTACGCCCCCTTTACTCCCCCCTCAGCAGGCAGCTTGGGAGCTAGTGCAGATCAGTAATTGATGGCTAGGGCAGCTTGAGAAGATAGCCGCATAACGTACAGGTAGCTTTTTCCTTTTTAATAGAGGCAATTAAAACATTTAATTATTTTACGGCAGCTTTATTGTTTCATGGCAGTTTCCAAGAAGTACAAGACAGCCTGTAAAGAGCTGTGTGGCCCACTGGTACCTTATTGATTGAAGTGCTGCTGACCAGGTCTTTTTGGCAGCTCTGACACGAGGTGGATCTGGCCTTCCAGGGCTGACAAATACCACACCTCCTCCCCCCCCACCCCCATCCCACTGTCAAGCTGCTCTGACCAGTTATCATACAATTACCAGGGAGCAGGAGACTGGCAGAGCAGCTTTGGGCACCACTGACCTGCTCACTCACCCCTGCGCTATGGGCAGGAACAAAGCCCTTCATGGCAGGGACTGGCTAAGTCTGGAAGTTAAACTAATTCAGAGATCTCAGTGTAATTCAGAAATCTCTGTTTCCATGAGATACAGCCCCAGGACACAGCACCTCCACCAAACTGGTGGCCATCTTTTGTCCCTGAACAGACACTGGCATCACAGGGAGGACACCCAGGGACACTGAGACAGCAGGACCCCCCAGCCATACTGCAAGCCCTCTTGGTTACATGGGTTTGTCTTCGAAATACACTTGAGAGGCCTGAGGAATGCGCTTCAACACAATACAGCCAACAAGTTATTATTGCTAGAGTACAGGAAACACGTGTTTAGATTCATGAAATGAAATTAAAATAATCATCATAGAGAAATGCATTTCTGGGAAATAAACCTTTTAGAAAGATAAAAGGCTGAAGATTTGGGGAAAATAATTATGGGATCTCCTCAAGCAGCCTACATAGAGCTCCAGTGCAGTGAAACTGCTGTTACTTCTCTGGCAAACAGGCTCTCAAATCATATGCTACTAGTCTAACATGGGTTATAGCCAGTGGATTTTCAAGGATGCTTGCCCTGCATCATACAAAAAACAGGCGACATAGAGCTCCTTTGGTTTCCCTGGGAGCTGGCGTTTCCCAACATGCAGCATTGGCTTGGTGGGAACGGGGAGAGCACAAAATGGCTCCCTTCACTGTCACTTCGCACACGAGAACAGTGAACCCACCAAACCACGGCAGGGCAGCACAGCCCAACCACGGCTCTGAGCAGGGCTTATGCTAAAGAGAGAAGATTTCCACTAAATTTCTTCTTGTGTCTATTATCGGCCAGCTACAGGTAACACCAGGGAAAAATACACATCTGTGAAAATAAATACAGAGCTCCTCTGGAACTCCAACAGCTTTGGATTTGCTGGCTTCCTGTAGCTTGCTCGAAGCAGACACATGGAGTTTGCTTGTTTTTTCTCTTTTTTTTAATCTTTTTCTTTTTCTACTCCCTACCTTGTACTGGTTCACAGTTGCAATGAGAAAGGAGAAGGAGATAGCAGTAGCTGCCATGGCGTGGGTGGAAGGCATTCCGTACTCTGCATCCGTCCTCATTTCCAGCTTGACAACAGGTGGCGAGAGGGGCCGAGGCCACTTCAGGATGTCCTTGGAGACCTGGCCTATGTACATCACTATCTGGGGAGAGGAAAGGCCACAGAGCTTTCAGTCAGCACAGGCAGTCCCCACTCAGCCCACCCAAGAACCACCTCTATTTCTGCGCATTTTCCTGCAAAATCCACCACCCCACGTGCAGAATTTATCCCCTGAATTATTAAAGGTGTTTCCATTATCCCAGTCCGCAAAGGAAGCGGCCGTTTTACTGCACCATGTTGTAACCTGATCAGAAGTGGGACCAAAAGCAGGGTTTGCTGATGAGATGCAGCAGTACAGGATGGCGTGAGGCAGACACGCTAGAGAAGTCTCCCTGTGCCTTACAACCACTCTCCTACAAAGCAAACAGCTATAAGAGAATTTTTTCCACCACCACCTTCAAATCCCCACCTCGCCCAGCCATGTCCCTCCCAGCTCCACGCAGCAGCTCTCCGAGGGCAGCACCAGCTCTCCTGTTCCCAGCAGCTCCCACTCCACACACCACACAAGGTGCTGAAGGAACCCCGCTGGGCCGCACCACCGCTGTCGTTATGAAATACTAACCCTGGCATCGTTGGGGAGGCAGCAGAGAGAAAACTGGATGAGCAACACCAGCTCCCACCTAACTCCCCACCAGCGAAGGGCTTCTGTGCAGTGCTTGGGACACCAGAGATTTAAGCAAGGGCTCCATTCATTAGCTACCAAGCACTGCAATGCAGTGATTCTGGGGGGGAAACGTTGCATTCTTAGGTCACTGCAAGCAGTAGCAATAGGAAGCTAAGGCAAGAGGCAAAGCTGGCCAGCACCCCTGAGAGGTGCAGCCATCCAGCAGCGCCCAGGAGACCCACCGCACTGACATCCTCTGCTCCTCAGCACCCTCTTCCCAAAGGCAATGGGCTTTCAACATCCACAGTGAGGAGGACATGAACAAAAGTCACCTAGTCTGTCCCTGGAACATGCATTCATTTTCCATTGCCACCCTCCTCCCTTGGGATAGTGCAGCCAGATGTATGCAAAACAAGCTCTACAAAACAAAGCAAACCTTTTTCCTTTTTTTATTTTTTTAAATACAAAAATCAGGTTAACTGATGTCTACCACGAAAGCTCAGCTGCTGTGCGAGACTGCTTGCTATTCTGCTTCTCACGCTTCCACATGCAAAGAAGGGGTATTAAAATAACATCCTTCCCATGCTGGTGTTAGCCATATGCCAGAACAGCAACACGATCATCCGCTGCCACATTTGTCACCAGCACATTGCATCCCTCTCTCCCACCAGCCATTTAAAAAATAGCTTCACATTAAAAGAAAGACGTCAGGATTCACAAATCAGAACCAGGAAAAACCCAAAACGACATGTTCCTTCACCCCGCTCTCTACAGCAAAGGGCATGCCATGGGGAGTGCTAGGCTTACAGCCAGGACCACAGCCTGGAAAAGCGACTGCTGGTGCCTTTGCATCCTTTACCCCTCCTCACATGAATCACATTACTGCCCTATTATCAGCGCCACCTGTGGCACGCCTGGCTGCTCCTATCTCACCCTGATACACAGGGCATAGGGCAGTCAGCAAATACCCTGCCCCGGACTGTGCACAGTAAACAAAGGCTCAAGGAACAAGTGTCTTAAACCACCACGTGGGTTTATATGGTTAATGTCACCAGTTTCCAAATGGATGCACGTGCATTGGAAGTTAATTAAATTCCAGGATTGAAAGCAAAATTACTCTCTCTGACAGAACATAAAACATTGAGACTACCATTTGTGATAACATCTGAGAGCCAAGGTAGGACAAGCCAGTTTATCAGCAGTCCTCTATAATAATGACTTCCACTTGTAGAAGTATTATTAGCACTAGTACATAAGAGTATTACAGAAAGGGAAATGAGTCATCTTTGAAATGAAGGCTATGCTAGGAATCCTCTGATGGCAAAAAACAGGCTGGATGCTGGAGGTGGTATGGGTAAGTAAAAACACTAGGCAATCTCACAACACCTTCCTTCTTGCCATTCCAGATTAAATTCTGACCCTTCCATTTTTTAAAAAAAACATAATGTCTATTGTATAGACAGGTACAGTAATGAGAGGTAAGACAACCTCCATGAAATATGAAGAGGAGTCCAGAATACATTCAGACTAATCGCTGATCTCTGAAGCACCAGACCTTTGCCTTTAGTTTATCTGGGTGCTGTACACATGGTTTCACACACAATGTCCTGGATTATTTGGCAGCAGAAGCAGTTGTGGGTGCTGTAAAACATCCCCCATCAGCTGAACTGGCAGGCTTGCCTGAGAAGGCGAAAGATGACAAGTGCACCATGGCTAAAAGCTACCCAGCAAAGGTGTTGCTCCAGTTTGTCTGCTGCCCACAAGTGGCTGGAGGAGCACAGGACTGCCCAGGCTCCGTGTGGGCTCTCTGGCTCGCAGCACGGCAACGCAAGCAGGCCAGAGCTCCTGCCAGATCTGCCTGTGGCAGGCAGATGGGTGCAGTCCCCAGGGAGACAGCCCCACAGCATGGAGCAGGTCAGGCAGAGCAGCTGGGACCTGCACATCTCTGCCCATCCCAGAGCATGACCCAGCCTTGCAGGGACCACTGCACAGCTGGTGACCACCACACAGCTGGCAACTGAAGGCAACATCCCTGCGAGTGTATCAGGCACAAGCATTCAGAGCTCAGCCACAAACAGTAAAAAAAAAACCCAAGCAGCAGGCCACCACAGATGCAGTCACTACATGACAAGAGTTTTGCAGAAACACACTTACAGTATCCTGCCAAAAAACTTTGATGGCCCTGGAATAAATTTAGCACGGGCAGAATGACCCAAAGTCCAGATCAGCAAGTAACCTGGGATTGCTTAGGTCCATAGGACTGGGAAATCTTGCTGTGATTTCCAGCCTACCTTAGGCAAGCCAAGCAGCACATTTGCTTTGGACAGACAAAAGGGGAGGGTATGTTAAGGCTTGACCCAGGAGCATGTCACCTTCTAGCAGCTGACTGGCAGCACGTTTCCGCATTTCAAAGTCTAAAGCAGGGTGATTCTTCAAGCCTGCAGTGCTGGGCTTCACCCAGCTCCCCTTTCTTCACAAGGGCTGGGAAGATTTAGGGTGGAAGGAGGGGCCAGGCTCAAACAATGCTCACTTAAGATTTAAATAAAACCCCTTCCAAAAGCCTTTACATTTCCACCCAAACCATCTCCAAGCCCAATGCTCAACATTGGAGGTCCTTGAACATTGAGCAAGCAGACACCATTTGCTCTCAGCAGAGAAGAGAAACCTTGAAGCAAATCATTTCTCCATGCTTTATTGTTCTGTTTTCTTCTTCCTTACATTGCCAGTCTTCTGTGTTTATTTCTAGTACAGGCTCTCTTCCACTCTGTCCAATTTTCTGCAGTTCTGGTGGAAAATGGTTTGCAGACATCGTCAGCATAAATAACTTTAATTTGCACATTAATAAGTACTTCTGTCTCTGCATGGGAAATTTGTCTGAACCTGGAGACTGTCCCATTACTGAAGTAACAAAGTCAAAGCTGTGATTGATTGGGTAGGACAATTAGCTAGAGAAGATAACTAAACAGAAATGCATGGGAATTTAGTTGAGATTTTGCAAAAGTTGATGGGATGGTCATGGCTAATTCCTTTTACTCTGAAAGCTGACAGCAGCAGTTCTGACTACCCTGTACCTCAAACTGTTGAAATTTTCCAAAATGAAACTTAACCATTTCACACCCGAGTTACAAAGATGTTTTGGTGAACATGGGGGGCTGATCGGGCTGGCAAGGAAGGAGGGGAGCTGGAGTTCAAGGACAGGAAAGGGAAAAGCACCACACGTCAGCACCGCAGCCTTCCCAGGTCACTGGACACCCACAAGCAGGGCCCAAACCCGGGTGGAAGCAAAGCAATGCTCCCAGGCATCAGACAGGTCAATACAGGGAGCTCCTGTCCCAAGACGCCCACCACACTTTCCCATGGGAGCACTCTGTTAGGGGAGGCTAAGGGACTCTGCTCTACCCCTGTATTTGCAAGTCCTACAAGCTACAACCATGAAAAATGCCACAAGGTGAGTCCTTACCAAGTAAATGATGGCAAAAGCAAGGTGGACCATGGCATGGGAGCAGAGGTGCGGTGGAGGAGTCACTGGCAACAGCCACGCACATGCATAGCGCAGGGAAACACCACCTTCCCTTCTGTACTTAGGTGTGTGCACACACAAAGAAAAGTAGCTCACATACCACTGCCACAGTGAGGACCCTCAGAAAGTTGTCAGCTCCCTAATATTTGCAGTGTCACTTGACAGTGACATGGCAGCACCAGCTGGAGATGTGGGAAACACAAAGCATCCCTCCAGCCCCTTCTTCCAAAGCCACACAGGCACGCCCACGGCTACAGGGCTGTCCCCCTGCGGGCTGCACAGCTCCCGCATCCCTTCTGCTGCTCTGCCTCCATGGAACACTAACAGGCTGAATCGGTGAGATGCATTCAGAGGAGAGCCCCGGGCTATGCAAGGGAGGCTTTTCCTCCTCAGGGCTCCTGCTCTGAACTGCATGGGAATATATTACCCGTATCTCATTCTGCTTTGTGGTGAAGCAGTAAGCAGCCTGGCTTACCGAGCCACACTTGAAATCTAGGGTATGGCTAACCCAATCTATTCAGAGTTGAGCCAGCCTCTACTGCTTCTGCATTGCCAAGTGCTACCGCATCAGCTTGGCACACTGTGGTCATGCTGCGAACACGATGTGACACAGTCTGCGCCAAAGCTGCTGTCCCTCCCAGGGGTCCCACATTTATAACCGCACACGCTGAACACGTGGGCTAAGGCAGCAAGCCTGGCACACAAGCGCATTTTTCTAACCCCAAGCCCACAAATGCTATTCTTCAGTTTCAGATTTTCTGAATTTTCGTTAAATAAGCCTGCTCTCCTCTCATGCGCATCCATGCTCTCCCAGTGCTATGAAGGTGACTCTGAAGTCTTCTGACTTACAACAAATGCAAAAAGCATGAAAAAAAATAAAGTCTTGGGTAAAGACTTCTTACTTGTTCCCCTCTCAAAG